TCAAGTAAGTGAAAATCTCCCCTAACTCTGACTTATCTATTTATTTTTTAAGAAGAAGTAGATCTTTTAGGATTATTTACTATGTAAATTACAAACAGAAATTTGTAAGTTTTAAACAAATAGGTTTAACCTTTGTTTACTTTGCCACTTGGAAATTTTTCTACTAGAATGTATAAACCATTCTTTGTAACTCGGCATTGGTCTAAAGTAGTAATCTTGAAACTTTTAAGTCACATACCCATATGGGAATTCTCAAAAATTTTGTACTCTTTGTACATTTTTAAGTTGACAACTAAATTTTTTAAGCAGAAGTTTACATAGTTGGAAAGTATGTAATTTTCAGGATGTTTCACTTTTACCACATAAAATAATAGTTATATCAGTTCTTTAAATGTATCCAAATGCTTCTAAATATATAGCATTTTGATTCCTATTATCATTTACTTAAAAGAATGCATGAACAAGCTGTTCTTTATCATTGGAAATGTAAATCTTTCTTTTGATCCCTTGAGCCCTCATTTCTATTCCATTTGTCATAGACTTTTATCCTAATGGATTGTATTTTTAAACTTGAAAGGTTTTTTCCTTGGGTAAATTATCATATTTATATAACAAGTATGTAAACTTAAATTTTGATGTTAAAAGTTCCTGTAACCAAAGGATCCTAAGTATAACTTGGCCCAGAGATTTATCATCACAATTACTAGTAGTACCCAGTTGATCACCTTTGTCACAATTTTTGACAAATTATTACCAATCATAAAAGTTGAATCGGATTGGATTTGGGGGAGGGGGGCTGCTTGGCTTGTGGGATCTTAGTTCACCAACCAGGGATTGAACCTGAGTCCTCTGCTGTGGAAGCACAGAGTCTTATTCACTGAACTGCCAGGGTATTTCCTGGAAGTGTTTTTCTAGTGAGATTATTTGCTCTATTATTTTCCTTGATTAGATTCTAAATCTGTGAGTAACAAATTTTTTTGCTGCTATGGAAAGGATTTAACAATATTTATTTCTGTTGTTTTCATAGATAATAACAGCCAAAAAGCCCTATTCACACAGCTGCTTATGTGAGAATGGAAGCTTTATTATAGTAATGTATTCAGTTCTTTGAGTTCTATGCTAAGAATTCCATAACTCAGTATTATTAAAATTTATTTTTAATGTCCTATCAGATGACAACCTCCTTATGACCTCTTTCAGTTTTGGAAAATCAAAGAGTTGGAAACTCCCCAGCCTGGACAGGGTCTGTTAATCATTTAGGGGCTTGCTTTGGTTTCATGGATGTGTGGTATTTTCTGTCATCCTTATGAGGAAAATAGCCTACTTCTTTTTAAGAGTCTAGTTGTATCAGCACTGTTTCCCTGAGTGATGCTTTATTCTCTTTGAGTGTGATGTCTTTTTTTTGCTGGTGGTTCTCCTGAGTTATTTGGCCATGCTGTCTGTTTGCGAGCCCCTGTGGTACATGCGTGTTCGCCACCGCCTGCCTCTGGCAGGGATGTGACAGTGCTGCCAGGTGTAGTGTGGGGCTCCCCCGCAGCTCCGCTGGGTATCACCATTCACCCGGTGAGCAGGCTTCCTCTTGTGCCAAAGCATTCAGTGTCTTTTCCCACCTGGGGATTGGCACAAAGCTGGCTGCTGCGGGTGAGGAGGGAGAGCGTGGGGGGGTAGGGACTGGTGTGGCAGCTTTTCATGAGGTGCCTCCGTTGCGGCTGTCTCCACGCCTCGAGTTACCTCCAAGGAGTGCTCTTTCCTTGCTGTGCCTTCTTTGGGCTGGGGTTTCTTCTCAGGGTGGTCTGTTGGCTTCATTTACTTGGATATTTCTTGTAATTTCTGGTCTGCTAGGGGGTACTCTTCTTGATTTCTAGATCTTTTTTAAAAATCAATCTTTCCTGCTACTTCTGACTGCTTGTGATAGCATGTTGAAGCTGGCCTGTGAGCTTCAGTCTGCTATTTGTCCACTCTAAGGTGCTTTAAAACAGTAGTTTACATCTGTGAAAGTCTTCCTTTTAATCCCTGTCTCTGGTTCCCTGCACTTCATTCCTTAGCAGTTAGCAATGAGGTTTTGTATATGTTTTTCCATATTTTTCCTGATTATTTATGTGTGTTGTTTTTCATAGTGCTGTTATGTCATACTTGCTTTTACTTTATTCTTTTCTTTTTTTAAAAGCAACATGATATATATATATTAATATTTATTTGACTGCATTGAGTCTTAGTTGCAGCACATGAGATCTTGGTTACATCACATGGGATCTTTCATTGTAGCACGCAGGCATGTGGGATCTAGTTCCCCAACCAGGGATTGAACCCCTGTCACCCGTGTTACAAGGCAGATTCTTAACCACTGAACCACCAAGGAAGTCCCTGATTATATTTTAATATATGTGCTTTTTTCTTTAATAGCATTTGGCATCCTGAAATCTTCCCATATTAGCTACCTCATTTCTTGTAATAGCTGCATCTTATTTCACAGCTTAGTGAATCTCCTGGTAGGCATTTGTTACTTTTAAAACAATGCCACAATAAGCATCCTATTTACTTTCATTTTTGTGTACTTTTATATCTTTTTCATAAACTACCTACCTAAAATGTATTGTTACACTGGTATTTCAAAATTTGGTAAACTGTCAGATTTTCTCACAGAAAGTTTGTTTAAATTTATATTTCTCCAGTAGTGTATGAGATTACCCTTTTTCTTACACCTTTGCCGTCAAGGGCTATTATCAAATTTAAAAAAGATTTCATCATACTTATAGCCAAAAGATGATATCATTTTGTAATATGCATTTTCCTATAGTCTACATTTTATTTTCTTTTTGCAAATTGCATTTTAAACTGAGGTAAACTTTTGAAAATAGGCACTCTTTCTTGAGCTAGGAAGAATACATTTTATAAGCTTACTGTATGAGTGTGAATTTATTTATGTGAAATATGTTCTAGCTCATGTTTGTTCTCTCTCTTGATAAGTAGAACACAATATGTGAAACCCTAGCATGGTGCATGATGCATGCTGGGTATTTAAGAAAAGTCTGTTATCTTTCGTTCCTTTTATTTTCCTCCTCTTGTTCCAGTTAATTGATATTTTCTTTTCAGTCTGCCTTATTCTTTTAGGTTTTTCTCTAGTTGTTCCTCTGTTACCTAAAATAACAGAATGAATGATCTTTTCAGTGAGTTTATGTGAAAGATTTCTGCCTTGGGTTTGTGAGACGCAGAAGTTTGGGCTAGACTTTTACTTGTCTTATGAAATATCTGTCTGTGAGGTTAAGAGGATTTGCAGGAACTTCTTGGGTTGGCAGGCTAACTGCAGAGCTAGGCAGGTTGCTGAATGTTAGATATAGTCAGAGCTTTTCAGAAAGGTTATATGTCTTCAAATTGATCTGTACAGTAAGAGCAGTCAGTATCCCATCAGAATTATTTTTTATAAATCAACAACTGTCTCTAAAATTTATATGGAAAAGCAAAAACACTGAACTATAACAACACAATTTTGGGAAAGACCTAATTTGGAGGACACACATGATGTCACTTTAAGATTTTATAAAATACAATTTTAATTGTATTGTGGTACTGGCAGATGGAGAAGTTTATAGATTAGTGGAACAGGAGAGTCCAGAAACAGACCTACATGTAATATGGTCAATTGCACCTTTTCAACAAAGGTGCAAACCAATCAGTGGAATAAAGGAACAATCAGATATCAATGTACAAAAATGTGAACCTAGACCTATATCGTAACACTACATAAAAATGGGCTCATTGTGAAACCTAAATGAAAACCATAAAACTTGTGGAGGAAAACTTGGGGAGAAAATCCTGTGACCTTGTGTTAGGGAGAAATTTCTTAGATACCCCACCAAAATCATGGAAACATGAAGGAAAAACTGTAAACTAGACTTGATCAAAATGGAAGGCTTTTGCTGTTCAACAGACACAGTTAAGAAAATGAAAATATGTTTCTTGGGTGTATGTTTTTGGAAAATACCTTAATTGAGAAAATATTTGCAAAACTCACCTGATAAGGGTTTGTATTCAGAAAAATAAAGAATCTTCAAAATTCAATAATAAGAAAATACACAACCCAATTAAAAAAAAAATAGTCCCCCAAATCTGACCATTCAGTTCATCAAAGAAAATTAAAGACTGGCAAATATATGAAAGGATGCTCAGTGTCCTCAGTTATTAGGAATGAGACACCAGGTATATTGTTGTTTTTGTTTAGTCGCTAAGTCGTGTCCAACTCTTTGTTACCCTGTGTACTGTAGCTCGCCAGGCTCCTCTGTCCATGGAATTTCCCAGGCGAGAATACTGGAGGGGGTTGCCATTTCCTTCTCCAGGGATCGAACCTGCATCTTCAGTTTGTCAGGCAGATACTTTACCCTTGAGCCACCTAGGAAGCCCACATGGTCTCTATTAGAATAGCTTTTTAAAAAAAAAAAAAGCCCACTGCTTCCAGAAGTGCTGCAGGTGACCTCCAGGTAATTGTCATGTACAGAAGCAGTGATGGGACCCCATACTTTTTAATGTGGCAGTTGTTTTATTTCTTTTTGGTTGCATCGGTTCTTAGTTGCTGACCAGGGGACAAGCCTGCGTCTTCTGCGTTAGAAGGTAGACTCTTAACCACTGGATCACCAGGGAAGCCTGTGTGCTTGGAGTATTTGACTTGAGTCACTGGTTCTAAACCACTGGTGCTTCGTGGTAATTCTTTGAGTGTAATGATAGTCTTCGACAGTGTACAGGGCAGGGAAGACTTTGACTTGCTGTAAGGAAGGCTTCTGCTGTAGTTGTGGCTCCTATTAGAGTTTGAATGCTGTAGAAATTAATGACTCAGTTCTGTTCTGTTTTTGGGTTTCCTTTCATTCGATCTTTAAATTTTGGACAGATTTTATGTGCTGTAAGCTAATGCTATGAAGAGTGACAAAAATTCCAGTAGTTAGACAGTAGTGGCATCTGTTTTTCATTTTTCTGTCCGAGTGGGTGATTATTCTTTGTGGTCGTTGCAGGTACTCCATCTTCTCAAGCCACAGTGCTCGCTAACGGTGACCACGGAATAGAACGGAATGATGTCACTGGTAAGTGGTTCCCGGGGTCCTCAAATGTGTGGGTGAAACAGTCATGGTAAACATCTAACACCTTGATCAGCTCCTTTGAGGAGGATTGTTAGTGGAAGCGTATGGATTATTTGTCAGGGTACTCTTATTCTTGGTGGTTGTATTTAAATCCAGGGCATCTGCCCCATAACGTTTCCAACAACGGAGAGAGTGAATTTCATTTGATATTCTGTGAGTATTTTTTACAGTTGTACCACTCAAGAGCTGGATCGATCTTAATAATACACTTTTTTTTATATAATACACTTTTGATGCAGAAAGACCGCCATCAAAATATGTAGCGTTGGCTGCCACAGCTCTTTGAGCAGGTCTTGTCCCTGACTTATGTCCACACTGTGCTTAGTTTGCTTTCCATGGGTCACTGCTAGGAAGCTTGTCAGCTGGAAATTGAAGGTTCTTTCCTTTCTCTTGGGCCCTCAGTCTGTTTTGTCTTTATTTTTTTCCCTTAACTGTTACTTTGAAATTTATCTGTAATGCCTAGCCCATTACCAGGGCTAGCACTGAGTTAACTGGTTTCCCCTGTGTATTTGTAGTGAGCAAAATTTTCGAATCAGTAGCAGGGTCCACAGGGATGTATTCTGTAAATAAATTGTTTAGGTAGCTAATATGAGAGCCATACTGAATTTTTAAAAATAGTTGCACTTAATTTGCTTAATTGAGCAATCAGGCTCATGCTGTTGACCCAAATGAAAAGACTTCTGTTCAACTGGGGCATAACGTTTGCTTCACATTACTGCAGGGAGGCCGGCACTAGCCGTGGCTGTCTTACTCTTCTTGCATGCATACCTCAGCCTTTAGAAGTGCTGCCTTGAGTTACCAAAGGATTCCTCAGTTCCTCAGGCTTCTGTACAGCCTTCTGTTAGCAATAGCAGTTATTCTAGAATTTACTCTTTATCCTGGTTCTGTGACCTTTAGAAATGTTGTATACATCTTTATACCTTAGGTTTATTGATGACTAGGTTCTTTTTTTTTCCCCCCCTCCCTCCACCCAGGTTCTATTTATATGAATGTTAGTTTGACCCAGTGACAGTAAATCCTTACTAGTGACTCATTAATTAGGAGCTCTTTACTTTAAAAGCTGGAAACAACCAGAAGTGCAAATTTACTTATCTGTTTTGTGAACTAAAATTTTTGTGATTTTTTTTTTTTTAATAATCTTAGTTCATATGTGGTATTGACTGTTTCTGTGCCTGCTTTGAAAGCAGAGGTCTATATAAGCTTTAAGAAAGGCTTTAAGAAAATATTTAGAGAAATATCCCCATGACTAAAGGAGAAAAAGTTTAAACGTTAACTTTTTAAAAATGAATAGGTTCCACTTTCTTTAACAAGGAGGTAGTGCCAGGGGAAAAAGGGATTGACTTGGTTAGCCATTGGGAAGAATGAATTCCATTTTCATCTAGGAAGGAAATGACTATCACCACTAGAGTAGGTTTCTTCTCTAGCAGGATGTCAGGTCTGACCAGAGGAGACTTAAACTTGATGTAGCAATTTTTCCCCACTGCCACAGCTTAATAGTGCAGGAAAAAAACAGAAAATCAAAACAGGAAAAACACGCAGCCTGACCCTTACTGTTTGAAGACTTTAGTTCTGTGGCATCAAAAAAAGAACCCAACTGTTTATGAACTGTCCGCTGCCATTATGGGAGCAGGTCTTTCTGCTTTTGGACACCTCCCCACCCTAGTGTAGAATATAGTTTGCACACCTCGGGAGATGCTATCTTCTGAATTTGACCTCTTGACTATGTTAAAGCAGGTGCTTTACTGAAAATATGCATGTTTCAATTGGGGATGGAAAGGGGTAGGAAGCGGGCAAAGAGTGCATGTTTGCGGAGCATGTTGTGACAGCATTCTGATTTGGCCCTCACTAACTGGAGCATGTAGCTTTGTGCCATTTTGAAACTTCCCATTTCTGTTTCTTCAGAGTGTTACCTATAGTTCTAAGAGCAGACCTGCTCTGCTGACAGTGTATAAGGATTTATGAGCATCTTGCTATGTTGAACTTGCCGTTTACTAATGACCTGTGCTTTTCCGTCCTTTCCTTCCCCTTCCTACTTCTCCCTCCCTTTCTATTTTTCTCCTCCTAGAAGCCTAGCGTGTCTCTCAACACTGGGGCTGCTGCGACACCAGACCAGTGGTCTTTCCTAAGCACCGTTACACTTGTAAAACCTTCAGCATTTTGCAGAGCTTTGCTTTCCTTCCTGGACACGATATAGAAGAACCTGAGGGTAGTTCTTCGGGGCCCATTTCTGCTGATTCCTGAGCAAACCACCTGCTTCCTTTTGTGCTCCGCAGGGCTTGATGGAACCTGCTTTCCCTTTGTGAGCTCAAAGTACCAGATGGATTTTTTTTTTATCCTAGTGTTTTTATGAGGGTTGTCCATTGTCTTTTATTTCTCGTTCTCTTTTAAAATTCATTTTATCATTCAATTCAGTCTCACATTTTTTTTTCCTTAAACATTTTTAGTTGGCCTTTTTCATTTGGTTTTCCGATCTTCAACCTGCATCAGGGTACTGTAAGAGCAAATGAGATGGTGTGCTTTCATAAAGGGATCGAGTCCACCAGCACTGCAGTGAACCTCCCTCTTCCTCTCCTTCTTCCCTCTGTAAGCTTGCTTTTAGGGTAGATTCATCCTTCAGGCTACCTGTTTCTCTCCACCTTACTAACATTTGAATAATGATAGCTGTTTTAATTTGAAGTTTTCTAATTTAGAGTAGTTCTGATTAAACTTTGAAAAATATTCGCTTAAATGAAATCATCCTTTGTTATTTGCAATTTGGGCTGAAATTGTTTCTGTTATGAAATTATGATCTATTTGTGCAGGCTTACATGCTCCTAAAAATTTGACAGCCTTGTTATTATGTGTGAAATTTCATATCCAAAATTTCTTTCTTAGCTTGATCATGAGCTATCAAAGAAAAAAACTTGGTAAGTTAAGGAAAATGAAATCCTATATTGTTACTGGGATGTTGATACAGATAGAAGATAGCTTTCTGTAGCAACCTGAGAAGTTAAATGGCAACACATTGAAGAACTGCAACCAGTTACCAGGTTTCTAATGAAATGATTATCTGAGTAGACGCAAGCCCTGTTCAGAGTTTGCCTCCTTTAGAACTCTGGTGGTGTCTTTGTGTAGCCTGAGGTGGAACTGGTGGGTCACATATGAAGACTTGTGTATTAAGTCCTTTACCATAAACCTCAGCATTTATTTTTACACACTCTGAGGATTGTCCCGGTTGGAATTTCTTTTTTCTCATTCCTCATTTTTCCAAAATAATGGCTAAAAAAATCTGAAACCATCTGGGACATACACTGTGGAACTTTTAAAATGATAAGCCTTGATTGGATTTTTTAAAGTAGAATATAAAGCATGGGCCATGCTTTGATATTGTAGAGGAGTTCTGGTTTAAGATCTAGAATGTGAGACACTCTTTAAACTTTTCTGTCCTCTTCCTGACTATGTAGGCTTCTATAATCACTAAGCTGCTGATTGTTTCAGACTGAATATTTGGCACTGTGTTCTGAGGAAGATTTCAAGATGTGCGTTTAGATCCTCTGGTAAAAAGTACATTTGGGATGTGAAGGTTAGAATGTTGTGGAGGTTTCAACCAGGTCTCTGCAGTGACTTCCCCTCCTGCGGTCATAAGTGTTGGTTCCTTTGCCAGGAGTTCCTTCTGTGGGTTCTGGAGAGGAGACAGTTACAGGAGGCACATTTTAGAGGAAGTGCTTAGCCTTACCTTCTAAGTAGTTGATAAATATGAAAACTCTACCACTGGAGAAAAATCTGAAAAACAGCACAGGAGAGCAGAACATCTAATAAAACAGAACTCTTTCCCTTCGGTATGTGGTTGTCTCATATGTTTTTCTGGCCCCCCCCCCCCTTTTTTTCTGGCAAAGGAACTTTTTAGAACTGATAGTGGTAACTTTAAAAAGTCATATTTGACATCCTTTTGCAGCCTCCACAGCTTGTCTAGGTAACAGGTGGGTAGAAAAGCCTGGGTGCAAGCCCTGTGGTATGGCTGGGTTCAGAAACACACACTCATGCTTCATTATTGACACTGACTTATTCCACTTTAATTTCCTTTTTGTCATATTTATTTTTGTTTGAAATTTGTTTTTGTTTTCTAAATACGTTTTCATTTTGAATTTATGGAATTGTCGAAAATTTCTAGTAATAGCCAGCTAAACTTTCATATGTATTGTTAGCTGTATTTCACTTGGATGTTTCATTTTGAAGGAAATATATGTAATATTTCATATATAGCTTCATATGAAGTCCTGTAATAAAATGTTGTATTGCCGTGATGGTCATACCTAATGGCCCAGGATCTCACTGGTGAGGTAGCCAGACTGATAAAGGTTGCTCTATTGAAATGGTGGTTTCTTATATGCAATCTCCCTTTCTCTCTCTCTCTTATTCTTCTTTGGCCCAATGTAGAGCTTTGTTTTTAAATAATATTTTTATAACTTTATTTACACTTCTAAGTTTGTGCTTTTTGTGATTATAGATTTCAACGGTTTTGTACATTGGAACATTTTTATGTGATCACTGTGCTAAATAAATCACACTAATAAACATCTTACACTAACACTATATGGACTGGATTTTGGCTGGGTTCTTAATTATTGAAGTATAACGTGACCAGAACATGAGATTTGTAAATAAAGACCCTTGTGCTTTTGGTCTAACAAAGCTTCTAACTTGACCCATAATAATTCCATAATTACTTGGTTTTTTACTTTCTGCCAGCTACCTTCACTTACATTGTCGTTTTAGACAGAATGTACTCCCTTTTATCTGCAATCTATAAGAGTTAAGAAACCGAAATAATTACTTGATATTTTATAGCATCTGATAAGAAAGATAGTTGGCAGAGTAAGCAGTTTGTGGTTTGTTGTTCAGCAGCTAGGTTGTGTTTGACTCTTCTGTGACCCCATGGTCTGCAGCACTCTCGCTTCTCTGTC